TGGGAAGGAACGTTCCGGACACCCGGCCACACCCTGAGTGAACGGATGCGCCCTAGCCACCCCACCATCGAACGAGCCACACCTCCGAGTTGCCCGGCGGTGGTGACTTGGTGTACGGTCAGCCCCAAACGAAAAACTCCTCTTTTTCCTGGCTTTCATGGACTTATTATTGCCCTTTCCACGGCCCCCTGTCCTTCCACCTTTGGACGGAGGCTCAAGTGTGGAGACTTTAGGGCGAATGAGAAAGTTGTTGTAAACAGTCAGAAATGGCTTGAGACGGGAGTCGGTTCTTGGAACCTTGAGTTGTGCAAGTACGGCAAGACCTTCATTAAGGTATATGCGGGCACTCTTTTGGGTGTGCCACCTCCCTTGAAGGAGGATTCTGTCGAGGTTCTGGTGCCTCTGAAACCAATATGTCGCTCCACCGCGACGAAGCGAATAAGGGCGAAAGCCCAAGTCAGCAATCCCCAAACCGGTGAGGCAAGCATTAAACAAGGCTCGCCATTTGGCTGGTGTGGGGTTAAAGGGGTGGAGGGAGAAGCAAAGGCCTTCCAGGCACGCAAAAACTTGACTACGGGCTTGTAGCCCAAGACGACGCTCTCAGCAGCGCCATGTCTTTTGCCTCCTTTCGTGAGGCCCAACGAAATGAGGGCCTGCAGTTGGCCATCTCCACACTGCATGTGAGAGGATTTCAGCCCCAAAATTTCTCCTGTACGCAGCATAGAGTAGAAACCAATTAAAAGGGAGAGCGCAAAGGAGGTCCATTGGTTAAATAGGGCCCACCCAGCCATAGCCCAGACAATGTGCTCTGGGAGCGGAGGCGCACGAGATGGAATCTCATTGGCCTGCCAAGTGCGCAGGAGCCGCCAGGCTCCCGGCAAGTGATGACGAAGAGTGTCACAGGCCTGAGCTCGACCCTTGCCAGTGGACCAAAGAACTTCCAAATAATCACACAAACTATGGGATCCATCTTGCCACGACTGGTTGGAATGTCCAAGCCCTCATGCCTCATGAAGCCAAAGAACTCCTGGAGTGCTTTGTCATATCGATTGCGCGTGCTAGGCTGCACTGTTAGTTCCCTCAAAGTTCCTAATCCTCTTCTCACTTTCCCACGCTCTGCTGGGGTGGCTGCTTCCAAAACCCGCTTAGGCATTTCGGAACTTGGTCTTCACCCGCCTCCCCCAACGTGAGGGTTTATCGGCGGGGTTGCTATCTGTAGCCACGTATGCCCAGATCATCTGGGCATTGCCACACAGCAGACGCGTTGATTCGTGAAATAGTGGATCGTAACTTTCGGGAACTGGTTCGCCCCCTTGTGAGGGCGTGCAAACACACCAAGCTATCCGTGAGATGAATCATTCGACAGTTCAAATGCTGTTGATGCTCAAGTCGCCAACGCAACGCATTGAGAATGGCTCGCATTTCCAAACAATTGATATGCTCCTTTCCTCGGGTCCAATGCCAGCCACTGACGACCTTCCGACGCCACAGGGACGCGGGGACTGAAGCACGCAACCGATGGTATCGCATCAATTGTGTAGATGGAGTCGTGAGCAGAATGTCCTCACCCTTCAGGCTGATGAGGTTACCAAGCTTTCGGGCCAAGCTCAACTCCGAACCAAACGTACCTCGAGGAAGTCGAAGCGGAAGTCGCATCAGACGCGATTGCATGGAAGCCGCTGCGCCTGGCTTGCACCGGTCGAGGATGGCTTGGGGGTCCAGTGCAGGGGCCAAACCAAGAAGATGTAGCAGCTGATTGAGGAGCCAAGCCACCACAGGAACACTCCAACTGTTACCAACCAATGTAAGCCGAACATCAGAAGTGGCCCCACACTTCCGCTCGGCCTTAGGCGCGCAATTGGAAGTATAGTTGAGTGGAAAACCCATCATCAGCTCTCGTTCTTGGACAGAGGGCACACGATGTTCACCTTTCTTGTTAACCACTGCATGTGGACATCCTGATATTGGTAAGGCGGGAAGCGGTGTTGATCAGCATGCCACCTGGCAATCTCATGGTCCCTACACTGCACCAGACCAGCAGGCTTGCGTCCAGGTCTCACTGAGGGCCTCGAAGTGGTAAAGGAAGTGCGACCTTATCCCACCCCGGGGTGATCACCTCGCGGATGTCCTGCTCTGCTGTCAGATGCCAGGAGCACGGGTTGCCTCCCGAGGTACTGCGTGCGCCGTGACCCTCACAGAGCTCCCTTAAGTGGTCCAATACAGCCGCGGCCTATGGCACCAGGTCATACTCCCAGCATCAATGACAACTGGATCACCTCCAAAGCTGGCGCTCATGACGTCCCTGTCCTGAGCATCCATAGAGCTGACATTCTCCATGAGCACACGCACAGGTGCCCAAACCAAATGCCTGCGAAGCTCATCCCTAATGCGCGCAACGTGTACAAACAAGCAAGAACGCTCGTCATTCAGTGCCCCACGCCTGTCAGCGTTGAGCCCCGAGACACCTTGGCAAGGTGGGCCGGCGTGAAGAATGACTACCGCCGCCTGCGAGTAGCGCAAAGACCAGGACCGTACTAGCTCCGGCGTCACCATGGTCACATCATCAACATGCTCGACGCCAGGGTAATGGGACTCAACCACCCGCCTGGCTGCGGGGTTGCATTCCACCGATTCCACCGACACGTACCCAAGGACTGCCGTGTCTTGCAGGTCCATAGCTACACGCAAGGCTCCGACGCCATCGAAGAGCCCCACCAAGAGCACCGCATGCTCCGAACAGGGGCAGGGCAACCGCCCCCGCAGCTCTCCTTTGGCCGCCAGGCGACCCACTGCGGTGAGCCCTTGAGAACAGCACACACCCCCTCCTGTAGTTGAGGCGTCGCTGCAAGTGACCATCTTGTCCAAGTCCAACCGGAAGTTCATGCGGATCAAGGGCAGCAATCCGAGGAACCTCAACACCTCCAGCCTGCATTCCTCAGGCGTTCGCCTATATTAACGCTCCTCCCGATTGAACCCCTCAATGAACTGCCACACTGCGTTGAGGCAACCAAGTGAAGGTCGGCGGAACATAGCAAAGTAAACCAGTCCTCCACAGACAACCTGCATCTGCTTCTGACTGACCACTGGTTGTTGCACAAGCTTGAGGGCCATGCAGTAGTATTTGCTCAACTTCGCCTCCTTTGGGAAAGCCACACCGATTTCGCCATCAACGGTGGCCCCTTGCAACTCGCAGTGCGCTGAGCGTTGCACCGACTTCTTCTCATTTCTTGGCACCTGCCACTTGACATACTCTCCCCTCAATGCCAGGGCACGGTGTGACACCGTACCCTCCACCTCGCTCATCCCCGTAGCACGCACCTTCTCCAGCAAGTCATAGTTATCAAGATACACGCGCCATGCCGGGTCAGCGACCGTGAAAGGCCGGTCCTTACGTAGTTCGGCCTCATCTGAATGAGCAACTTCCCCCTCATACTGTGACCATCTGACAAGGTTCCGGTGCACGTTTTGGGCAATGCTCACAGAGTTCAAAATACTCCATAGGCAAAACCTTCGAGGCCAAGTAGATCGAACGTCCCTTCATGTGCTGGGGTAAGCACACGTCCGGTACCAACTTGTTAAAGGCAAGGTACTTGACCCACTCACTTGGAACCCTCATGGTATAGAAAAAACACTTCACATCTTCAGACGAGACGAGAAGGTTCTCCCCAGGTTGAAGGAAAAACGGGTTCATCATGCCCCAAGATGGTAAAGAGTCGACATCGCCAGAAAGAGGTTCACAGATTGCGTTGAGCGGGATGAGGTTCATGATGAGCCTACAGACCTCAATGCCTTCGGGGGGTCCACTCCTCCTTTGAAACCCCAAATAACCCGTTAAGCAGAAGTGCCTTGCCAGTGTGGAACACCATCTCCTCCTCAATGAGTGTGCAGACGCCAGCTTCCACAAGACCTGACACCAGCTGGGGCCAATCAGAGTCATCTACCATCACCTTGGGTTGAGTGATCTCCCCCCACTGCTCCAGGAAGCTATCGGATACACATACTCTCTGCACCCCAACGTGCAGACCTCTTCAAGGGGAACCACTCCAATTTCCTAGGGAGCGCAGGTGCAATGTTGGGCCATCCGACCCTCTCTGCAACCCGGACCTCATCACCCTTAGTCCACTCCCCGAATTGAAAAGAAGTGTTTCCAGTCAACGCCAACCATCTTCAACTCCAGTTGACAAAAAAGCTCCACGTCATCTCTAATGTGTCCCAAGGCCTTGCACTGAACCTCTGTGGGCTGCCTATCTGCGAGCAGTGATCCTCCCCAAACCGAGTTCAGCGACAAGCAAACAGCCAAAATCCACGTAACAACAACGCTTGAGGTATTTCGGGCCATAGGCGCAAAAGAACGTCCCTGGAGGTAGGTAGGGGCAACAAGGCGGAAGTTGATTCCCTACCCGTGAGCTTGCTGCGAAGTGGTAGAACCTCCAAAAGCTTTTGCGCCAAAAATGAACCCGAACTCGAAATCGATTGGTCCGAAAATTCAACGCCAGGCGACCCTTTTTCCGCGTGCGGTCTGTGCTCAGCGGATGCAACACCCCCCACCCAGGAACCTTCAAAGGCCGGTGGCTGGGGTGGAAACTCATTGGAAAAACCGATGGCCGACTTGACCACCTCATCGGCCTGGAGCGTTACACCCCGGGCCGGCTGTGCTAGGTATCCATGAGACAACTCTTCAGGCACCAGACCATAGTGGCTAGTGGCCACCCCAGTGCCATTCGAACCCCTCACGGATTCACTCTCATCATATAGTCCTGCTCCCGATCCCAGGAGCCCATCACTTGGCCGCATCCTCCACTTTCTTGTAGTCCTTCCCTTTCTTGCCCGATCCTTTGTTCTTGCCCTTCTCGCGGTCGGCTCTCCACTCCTGGTAGGGCTGCTCCTTCGACTTGCCCGTTCCTTTCGACTTCCCGCGCCCATCCGGCTGGGATGCCAAATACTTGGAGCGAGCGTCGATGGCCGCAGCTTTTTGCGCGCTCATGATCTCCTCTCTGGGTGCAATCAATTGCCTGTCCAAGGGCGGTATCTCGAGGCGTTGCGAGACAGACGAGTGGGAACCTGCAATGGTCGCCTCCACCGACTTCACCCTCTGCAACATGCAATCCACTGCCTGTGCCACTCTTCCGCGAAGTAGGAGGTCGACCGAGCTGCAGAGTGTATATATAATCAGTTCTCGACTGACAGGGCCGCTCGTCTTTCTCTGCAGCTCCTGACGAAAGTATTTGATCGCCGTGGGACCTAGGGCATTCGACTGTTCGTCGATCCCTGAACTCTCCAACAACACGCGCCTCATTGAAGCTAACGACCGGGCCGCTAGGGCCCAGGGCAGCCCTCCGCAACCTTCTGGATCTTGGTCTCGCTGTCGAAGAAGTTCTCCTCCTGCGTGAAGTCGACATCTTCGTCTCGGCTCTTCGAGGAGCTCCCACTGGAGCTCCCGCTCTTTCCACCCTTCTTGCGATGTATCAGCTTCTTGGCCCTGCGACCCACTCTGCGACGGACCTTCTCTTTCAAGTCCAGGCCTGTCCCAGCAAAGAGCATCTGAACCGACTTGACAGAGGCCCCACGGGGCCTCCGGCCATCCACCCGCACGACAGAGCTGGTGCTGGTGCTGCTGACCTGCTCCGCAATGGCTCCCTGGATTTTTTGGACCTCTTCTTCCTCTTGCTGCTCCTTCCTCTCTTGTCCTCCTTCTTGCGATCTCTTGACCTTTTGCGAGGTTCCTTCACTGCCGGGCGAGCACCTCCTTCTGCCTCGTCGTACTCCTTCTTCTTCTCCCTCAAGCCTGCCAACTCGTCGCCATCGTGGCGTTCGGTCTCTACCAGATTCCTCGTCCAGGGATCCTCTGCCTCGGGACCTTTGCCCAACCGAAGCCTCCGGCCGTGCACTAGGTCCTCTGCCACGCGATCTGCTGCACAGTCCCCGGGGCAAAGGTGCACTCGGACGTGGTCTTTGGGATGACCAGTACAATGTCGTAGGAGAGCTTCGGAATCGGTGCCCGTCGCTCGAACTAGCACGTGGGTTGCATCCCTCTCCAAATCCAGGCCTTGGGCCGTGCACGCCAGTCGAACAGGGGCGCCGAAGTAGCTCCCCTCCTCGATCACTAGATCCACACCTTTGACGAGCTCGCTCACGGGAACCTCCTCGGCCTTGATTGCATGTCCTCCTCGCCATAGCTCCCGCAGCCCAAGAGCTCCGTCGCCTAAGGGGGCTGCGGCTGGTCTCCTCAATGCTGCCACGAGCCGAACTCGCATAGCCCCCAACCTTCTCACAGGTCCTGCCTTGGCCTTCGCTAGGCCCTTGGCTTTCGCCTTCGCCTTCACCTTGGCTTTTGGAGCCATGGCGCTTACCGTCTCTGGTAGGGCCAATAACGGCCCCTCTCACGATGCTTGATCCCCTTCGCGCCTCGCTTCCGTTGCGGTGCTCGTTCAAGGGGTTGCGACTGGCCACGCCAGTACCTCTGTTGCCCACGTCCCTCGCGGCGAACTCCACGATCGGGAGGTGGATGGTCTGGGCTTCTCGGGCGCTTGGGCGCCGCTAGCGGTGGTGGAAGGTAATGCCTGAAGTGATGTGCCACGCTCCCCTTGGGAGCTGGTCTCAACTCAAACTGCCTGGGCCGGTCGGCCACTAACTGATCCTTCTCCTCGGTGGGAACAGTTGGGTCCTGCAAGTCAGTACCAGTGCTCCCAGCACCGGGCTCCTCCTCAACTGTGTTGCCCTGCAATCTCCTCTTCTTCTTGTCACGCTTAGTGGATGTACCGCTCTTGTGCCTCTTCCTCCTCTTCTTCTTCTTTTCTCCTTCTATCCCTTCTTCTCTGAGGTCGTGAACCTCGGCCTTCACCAACTCAACAGGGTCCTTCTCTTCGGTGTGCTCTTCCTTGGCGCGAACTCCGAAGTCACCAGGTCACCAGGTGGTCGATCAGGTTCCGGTTTGCTCTCCTTGTCGTCCTTCGGCGTCCCGGGTCCAGAACTTGAGGGTGCGGATCGCTCACCTTCTTTCTCTGGCCTTTCGAACCCTGGCGGATTCGATTCCACACGCTCCCTCTTCAGGAGCGGGATTGCTATCTCAGACAAATCCTCGATGGCTCCGCACGCCGACCTCAAGATCTGTACCACCGCCTCTTCTTGAGCTCGAAGGAAGGCACCTGTCCTGAACAAGTTCTGCACACGACACAAGGTGCGGCAACCACTGCAAGTCGTAGGTTTCCCGGCCCAAAAGTGACAGCCAGTGCAAGACATGCACCGAGATCACCAGCTTAAGCCGAAACACTACGGGACAAAACACCTCAGCGTGCATCTTAAAAACCGGGGGCGTTTGTACATATACACATAATCCGGGTGTGAATTTCAGGTAGGAGCTGGGGACCAGATTTGTAGATACTTAATTACGAACTATAGAACCCTACACAATATGCCTGGATAAGTGGCCACTCTATAAAATCTGGTGGCACAGGTCCACCTGGGACAAGTTTCCCATTTGTATGTTTAGATTTTGTAGTACTATACAGAAACCAAGCATCATACAGGAAAACCAAGCATCATACAGAAAAAGTTGATGTCGTGTCACCTCGGCAGGACTAGTTTTATAGAGAAAAGACTTAGATGAAGAAAGTTAATATACGATTGGTATCCGGGCTTGCATGGACCTGAGCTTGCATCCAATTTACTTTCCGGATTTATCCGTCATCCGACGTTGGATTATAATCCCGGATTATGTAGTGTTACCAAGATAAGGAAATACATTGACAAACATTAAAAATCGGTACCTCACAGTCACTCCTGATTAATTTAGCTAAGGCAGCCAGTATTAAATTTCAGCGGCTATCTTCTGTTTTCTATAGAATCTAGTTCCATCTAGTTCCTGTCTTTTGTGACCAGTATTTCTTCTATTTGTCCTTTGTAGAATTCATGTTCCAGCTCTTTTCAAGCAAGTCTCTTTCTTTAGATTCCGTTCCCAGGTTGTAAGGGCAAAACTGATTTCTCTACAAATTATGTTCCCAGGTTGCAGAAGTGTTTTCTATAAAATCCCTGAACACACCACTGGCCTATGCCAAAAAGTGATGTGTGATTAGTTTTTTTAAAGCTTTGCATTTTATAGTCAAGACCCCTTTTCTCGACAGAATCCTTCGGCCTCCTGACTTTATGGAGGGTATTTCGACGGGGATTGAATGCACATATATAACAACAAAGGTAGTAGTGGTGGCAGTAAAGTAGTAGTAGTCGTCGTCGTAGTAGTAGTCGGAGTAGTAGTAGTAATAATAATAATATATAATAATAATAGTAGTAGTAGTGGTAGTAGTAGTAGTAGTGGTAGTGGTATATAGTAGAAGTAGTAGTACCAGTACCAGTACCAGTACCAGTAGTAGTAGCAGTAGTAGTAGTAGTAGTTGTTGTTGTTGTGGTCGTCGTCGTCGTGGTATGTATTATTGTCGTCGTAGTAGTAATATCCGCCTTCTTTATATAGTGTCCAAAAAGCCTCGTGCCCACCATCTCCAAAAATTCACTCCCAGCACCGCCTGCGCTGTGGCCTCGTCTTCCAACAGCCTTCCGAGCTCTACAGGTGCCGACTTTACCTCAGCTGGTAGAAACAAATGGGCACTAAAAACCAGGGTAACGAATGAAATCGCATGAGGCACAATGCTTCTGGCAAAGCACGGAAAAACTCATATGACTAAAAGCTAATCCAATTAACGTCCATAGTTAACAGTTAACAACATAAACATCCATGAATTGACATCAGTGAGGCAAGCAAACTCCTCACAACTCCGTGTTCTGTTGGCCTTGCTTCGCTTCTGGAGCTTCTGCCGCTGTTTCTGCAACTCCTGACGCACTTCACCCTCAGCGAACATGCGCAGGAAGCATGATGCGTGAAACGCAGCCTCAAAGGTGCAATAAAAGAATCATCTGTTGGGGCTTCAACGGGGTCTTTTAATAACAAGGGCAAAACAGGAAAGAGAAAAATAAAATAGAGTAGAGGATAAAAAACAAAGAAAAAAGGAAAAGAAAAGCAGGAAGGCGGAGAAGGGATCTCTGGAGGGGGAGAGACGCATCTATTGTAGAAAAAACCCACACCATCCACGGCTCCTCTTGAAAGGCCGCCTGGCGCCTAGCTGCTTCAGCCAATGCAGCCTGGCGCTCCAGGTCAGAGCTAAACACCTCAGCGATTAAGGGATGACGATGATCAACGGCCCTGCGGTAAGTTCCGCTGCCAGGTAGCAAGGGTTGAGCGCTATAAAAATAGCAACAATAATGCGCATCAAATATAACTTTTGAATGCACTGAAATTCAGTCAATTCCTGACTGGTGCTTTGCTTCTCTTCTTGTTAAGTGGCGGCTCCTAACATCTCTTAACAATGAAAATGCTCTAAGGGTGTGGATCAGTTGTGCTAATCCTTGAAGATGCAAGGCCGCCGCAGCCACTGACTGCATCATGCACCCTTAGCATCCTTTTGCCGCGCCTTCATGGTATGCGTTGCATTGGTCTCAGCCAGTGCCGCCTGCACCTCCTGAAGTTGTTCAGGAAACTGGCGCCCAATTTCCGCATCATAGATGACTTTCGGATTTCTCCACTAGCTAGCCAGTGTCAAGATTTGAACTCCTGGAATCGTCCATGAGGGCCACTGAATCACTGGCGGCCGTTACAGTATCGGTCCTCTGCTGCTGTCCCAGCATCAGCTCGAAACTCATTCCAAACATCTTCAAGCATGCCACAAGCCTCAGCATGGGATAAGCCAGTAATTAAAAAACATATACTGTATGTATACTTGCGAACCTTGTCTGAGGAAAAAAAGGTTTTAGGTATGTCAACTGTACAATACATGATGCTCATGATGCTATGTATCAAGGTCATGACCTACTAGCGATGGGCCCCAACCAATGATCTCCAACCTAATAGCGTTGGCATCCAACTCCTCCCAGTCTTTGGAGACCAGCCCTCCGGGCCCTATAGGCAAAAACATCGTCGGAGACCTGCCAAAAAAATTGTGGACAGTTTTCGAAACATTGAAGGAGCTCAAACTATTTTTCTTTAGAAATTGTGTCTTTTCTAAACTGATTGGTTAAATTGATCGCCTTCTGGGACTGGCATGAATTAGCAAACCATGAAGACGCAAACTCTTTCCAAAATCAAGCGCCAAGCTTAAAGCCCCAATGCAATCATAGGACCTGACAGGTTTTAGCTTAAAAGATCCGCGGTTCGCCAACCTTCAATTGAACCTACACACGTTCCTGCCTAAATTTGGCGCGTTAAGCCGTTAAGCGACCTTTTATATGTCCGTGAGTGTGTGTGTGTGTGAGACTGTGTGTAACCCTTGGAGTCATAGGGAGCCTGTTGGCTTTGAATGTCAAGCAGGGGGCAACCCCACTTTGCAGTCAGTTGAAATCTGGAAAGAACGCTTTCCAGACGTACCTGCTGTCTTACCTTCACTTCCTCATGGGCCCTGGTGGCAACATTTTACTGGCCGCATCCGCTATGCATTCTGCAGACATGTGCTCATCGACCCCTCCGGCTCGTGGAACTTGATTCTAGAACTTACTTCTGAAGTCTTCGAGGTGGTTGGACCACATTGCATAGTACAGTACACGTTTTACGCAGGATTATTTTCAAGACTTAGGCTTCTTCTAAGCATTTGGCGGCCTTGGTACGAAATCTTATCCTGAGTGCGTGTGAAAAGTTTGGAACCATAGGGGGCCTTGCCTTGCGATCTTTTTAGGAGGGGGCAACGGCCAGTCCTCCCACGTTGCCCAACGAAGCTACGAAAGACTGGTGGAAGCATTCAGGGACGCCTGAATGTGCACCTGCATTTGCATGCTAAAGCCTACTTCCTCATGGTCCCTGGTTTAACTAGAACAAGTTCGCCATCCTTTGCATCGGCTATGCTTTCTGCAGTCACGCAATCGTCGCTCGAGCCATTCGAGCCTTTGGAACTTTGAGACATTTTGAGACTTTGCATCTCGAGATGTTGCTTCTCTTGGTTGGTCGCCTCTTCACTTGACTTTTACCTTTCAGGTTTCATGCTCCCTGGACATGTGTTTTACTTAGGCTCGCGTGTGGCGAACCGCAACTCAGTACCGCACGCATTTCCCAAGTGTGTGTGTGTGTGTGTCTACACCTGTACCAAAAAACACCGACCAGTGGAAGATAATTCGTTTTACCTCACTGAGATTTTCAATTTCCATTTAACAGGCAGGGGGCACGGCGGCCGTTCACGTAGCCGTGCTAACAAAGCTATGGTGTTCGGCTGGAAGAGATACTGGACGCAGTATCTTGTACCTGCAAGTTATTAATAGTAGTCACACTCAATTTCACCTTTGTTAAACAGTTCTGTTGAACCGACCCCGCACTCCTACAGTTCCTGCGAGTCAAGGTCTAGTTCCTGCAGCGGGCAACGTAGTCACTAGAGTGGGCTACCTTCACTGACTCAGCTCTTGCGAGCATCAATCTAAGTGCGTGTCGCCACAGAGTCCCACTGAGGGCTGTGGTGTGATCCCCATCGAGGGGCGCAGCATTTGCACAGACCCATTTTGGGGGGATTCTCACTGACTTTCTTTCGTCCCTCTCACGTGAAGTTCATTCTGATTACCACTGGCTCGTTTTGTTCTGCTTGAGATTGCTGATTGAATGCCGCAGGGCCCACTGAGATCGATTGCCGCAGGGCCCACTGGAAGAATCCTCCATGCCGCTAAGTATTCACATGTCATTTGGAAAAAAGGATGCGTAGAGCTACATCGACGAGATCTCCCACTGTTCCTCCCTTCGAGGTCGTCGCCATGAACTAACCGTGGCTTTTCCTCTCAAACCTGCAGCGTCGACTTTCCAGCCACACACCACAAACAGATCTCCCTCCTCTCCTCTCACCTCTCCGCTCTCCTTTCTCCTCCTCCTTGACTTTCCCCACCTCCACCTTTGCCAACACCATCGCCACCACAGTTTGGCCCTTTCCCACACCATGACCCACCCAACATGCAGGACAGCCCCAATTTTCTCCCAATCCTTCTCCTGATCTCCCTTGAGCGCCGACTTTCGGCTTTGACACCGACCAGTGCAAGATAATTCGCTTTACCTCACTCAGATTTTCTATGTCCATTTAACAGGCAGGGGGCAGGGCGGCCGTTCACGTAGCCGTGCTAACAAAGCTATGGTGTTCGGCTGGAAGAGATACTGGACGCAGTATCTTGTACCTGCAAATTATTAATAGTAGTCACACTCAATTTCACCTTTGTTAAACAGTTCTGTTGAACCGACCCAGCACTCTTACAGTTCCTGCGAGTCAAGTTCTAGTTCCTGCAGCGGTAACGTAATCACCGGAGTGGGCTGCCTTCACTGACTCAGCTCTTGCTAGCATCAAACCTAAGTGTGTGTGTGTGTGTTCGTGACACGATCGATTAATCCAGGATTCAAGGCCAAGGCTGTAAGATCTTGCAGCCAAGCCGAGCTGCTCCATCCCAGTCTTTGCCACCTCTGATGTTCCACAAAGCTTGCAAAGAGCATAGCTCTGCCTCTGCCTGGCAAATCACCAGACAGTTTGCACAGGCCAGGTGGGTCCCCTATGCGATGGCAACAGCCCCCAGAAGCCTATCTGCACGTTGGGTGGAAGCACCCACAGTTCCAATGGCTTCACCATGCTTCAGCAAGGACTGTGACATTCTCATGGTTTGAGGCCCCACATGGCCTTTCTGCGCAACTCTGCCAAATCATCCCTCTGCTGCATCAAGTCGGCCATGGCCAGCAGGGGCCTTTGGAGTGGCGGCCAATTGACATGTTTGGGCTAGCGCAGTGGTTCCAGCACCTCTAGTAGGCGAGCCT